GGGGGGGGGGGGGGGGGGGGGGGACTGTGAAAGGGAGTATTGATAGTCACAAATATTTATTGGTATCTTTTAGCCTTTTCTATAGCAATCAATACCAATCAGCTACACGTTAAAAAGGTAATTTAGTTTACTTCGATAACACAGGAAGTGGTTGTCCAATTCTTCCCAGCCAGGGACTCATTTATGAAGAGCTCAGTCACAAATAGATCTATCGCAATATCACTTGAGACCATCAAATCATGATTGCAAGTTGAGGTTAGACTTGATAAAATACAGTAGATGTATGAACACGTCAAATTTAACCTTTACTCAAAGATATTTTTTGTGGTCACTGAAGTGAATTCCTGGAAAGGTACATTTCTGTTTGATCAATTCGTACTTTATTTCCTATAACAATTCTGGAAAGGTGCATTTCCGGTAGTTCCCTAGCTATGCAATTATTTGTATTTAGCTTTCATTTATGACTATAACCTGCTATCTTTCTAGCTAAGTAATTGGTAATCTATATGCAAGTTTTTGCTTCAGAAGTGTTGCTAAGAAACCCCAGCTAAAATACTATTACTGGGTCTATGTTTTCAATGCCATATCTTGACTAGTCAAATGACAGTGAAAATTTTGTTTTGAGTAGTAAAATTTGTAAATAGTTCTTTCCTGAATTTGAGTGACCACGAATTAATGGCTGCAAGAGGAGGTCGGACTTGATATTTTGCCTTGGAGCCATCATTTCATGGTAATTCAAGCAAATTCAAGAAAAGGTCTGTGTAATAGCTGTATAATAATGAATACTTAAATTTATGCAGTGATTGTTTGTGTATTACAGCTGCTATTTGTACAACTTTGTAGCTGCAATCTGCATGTGAGATTGGTTTTTTCATTGCCACCAGTCAAAAATATGAAAGGTGCTGACAGATTGGTTCATTTTTGAGCCCTCATTGCTTTACGTTAGTCAACTATGGCTCTTAGTATGGCTCAAGTTTTTTAGTAAGGAAAAAATGCACCTAATTCAGAATGTACACTTGCTTTTGATATTATATTCCATGAAAAAAGAATAATATTAGTATGAGGTATTTATAACAAAGTAATACAATCTTTGGATGACTTTTCAATTCTAGTAATATTAGTAGACACAGTGAGAACAAACAGTGAAATCAAATTTTGATTGGCAGGTGTCAATCAGGCTTATTTTTGTCTATATTTGGTTGTATTTTAATATAACTATATTATGCTTGCGTGAGTCGTCACAAGATATTTGATATATCAGAAAAAGGAGTTTATGATCAAAATTTCAAAGTTTCATTGTCCTTGAACTAAGAACATATAAAATTTTAAAACTAACCATTTTTGCAAAGAAATGTATGTGGATGGGCATTGCATGGCTGGCGCGCCTCATCAGTCTGGACAGATATATTTCTTTGTAAAATCCCATGAAAATACCTCATTTAAAGAAATTGATATCTTCATCAGTTTCAGGGCAATCTTTATGAAACACTGCAATTTTGCTGTTTATCGATGTTAACAGTTTGATAGTAAACTTCTTTTCCCGATAAATCAAATCTTCCATCATTAGGACAATTATTAATTATCAATTTCTAAGATTTTTTCATTTTTTTCTCCAAGAAAAATTTGTTTTAAAAAACATAATTATTTTATATCTTTAATAACTAACCAAGCACAGAAACACCCTCAAGATTTTTTCATTTTTACATAATAATGATAATAATATCTTTTATGCATAAATGATAATAAAGTTTGTCAAAAAAAATGTATCTCTAGTGCAACCTCAAGCTTGAGGGTGGAAGAAAAGTAATGCATAAAAGGGATATAGAACAATAGCTAATAATAATTTGCAAAAAAGAAAAATTGGGTGAATGTACACCTACTTGCATGAACGTTGTCATACGAAAATAGAACAGTGATTTAGTGGGATAGGAATACATTTAAAAAAAGACAAAATAAGATCACTGAAGCTGAACTTTTTCTTTTGTCTTTTAATGAATTCCTTCCTCACTAAATTACTAATGTTCTATTTTTGTATGACAACCTTCTTGCAAGTAGGTGTATAAATAAAAAAGAATAAAGGGAAAAATTAAATAAATTATGAATTTTTAAGAGAAGTGTTTGTGTATAATCAAGACATGTCATGCAACCATGCTTTATCTCACATCTTACTCACATCTTAAATATTATRTTGTGGTGTGATGTGGTGTGAAGCTGTGTGATGTGGTGGTAATGTGATGTGATTTATTCTGGTCTGGTGAGGTGTGGGACAGCATGGTATGGAGTGTTGTGGTGCTTTGTGATGTGCATGTGATGTGCATGTGAAGTTGTGATGTGGTGGTGGTGTGATGTGGTCTATTCTCGTCTGGTCTAGTAAGGGCTAGGTATGGCATTCAGTGTGAAGTGGTGTGGTGTGATGTGGTCTGTTCTGGTCTGGTGAGGTGTGGGACAGTGTGGTATGGAGTGCTGTGGTGCTCTGTGATGTGCATGTGAAGTTGTGATGTGGTGGTGGTGTGATGTGGTCTCGTCTGGTCTAGTAAGGGCTAGGTATGGCATTCAGTGTGAAGTGGTGTGGTGTGACGTGGTCTGTTCTGGTCTGATATGTTAAGGTTTGGTGCAAGGTGGTGTGGAGTGATGTGGTGCTTTGTGGTGTGGTGTGAAGCTGTGTGATGTGGAGATGGTGTGGAGAGGTGTGATGTAGTCTGTTCTGGTGTGCTGTGAAGTGTGGTGCAGTGCGGTCTGGTTGACATATCAGGTTTGGCCCAAAAAGCATGGACTATAACCCATGGTTTTGATGGATTTTGACCCATTTTCACACCTTTCCCCATCCACTACATTTCAGGTTTGGCCMAAAAAGCATGGACTATAACCCATGGTTTTGATGGATTTTCACCCATTTTCACACCTTTCCCCATCCACTACATTTCAGGTTTGGCCAAAAAAGCATGGACTATAACCCATGGTTTTGATTGACTTTGGTCCATTTTCACTCCTTTCTCCATCCACTACATTTCAGGTTTGGCCAAAAAAGCATGGACTATACCCATGGTTTTGATCGATTTTGGCACATTTTCACACCTTTCTCCATCCACTACATTTCAGCCACATTTTGAAAATATTATCAGATTGGGTCAGTTATGACCAAAAAAGCATGGACTATAACCCATGGTTTCGATAGATTTTGGCCCCTTTTCACACCTTTCTCCATCCACTCCACTTCAGGCATATTTTGGAAATTTTATCAGATTGGTTCAGGTTTGGCCCAAAAAGCATGGACTATAACCCATGGTTTTGCTCGATTTTGTCCCATTTTCACACCTTCCTCCATCCACTACATTTCAGGTTTGGCCAAAAAAGCATGGACTATAACCCATGGTTTTGATTGACTTTGGTCCATTTTCACACCTTTCTCCATCCACTACATTTCAGCCACATTTTGAAAATATTATCAGATTGGGTCAGGTTTGGCCAAAAAAGCATGCACTATAACCCATGGTTTTGATCGATTTTGTTCCTATTTCACACCTTTTTCCTTCAACTGCAACTCAAGCACATTTTGAAAATATTTTCAGATTGGGTCAGTTATGACTAAAAAAACATGGACTATAACTCATGGTTTTGATGGATTTTGTCCCATTGTCACACCTTTCTCCATCCACTACATTTCAGGTTTTGGCCAAAAAAGAGTGGACCATAACCCATGGTTTCGATAGATTTTGGCCCCTTTTCACACCTTTCTCCATCCACTCCAGTTCAGGCACATTTTAAAAACTTTATCAGATTGGTTTAGGTTTGGCCAAAAAAGCATGGACTATAACCCATGTTTTTCATCGATTTTGGCCCATTTTCAAGCACCTTTCTCCATCCACTCCACTTCAGGTTTGGCCAAAAAAGCATGGACTATAACCCATGGTTTTGATGGATTTTCACCCATTTTCACACCTTTCTCCATCCACTACATTTCAGGTTTGGCCAAAAAAGCATGGACTATAACCCATGGTTTTGATTGATTTTGGCCCATTTTCAAACCTTTTCCCATCCACTCCAGTTCAGGCACATTTTGAAAATATTATCAGATTGGGTCAGTTATGACCAAAAAAACATGGACTATGACCCATGGCTTTGATCGATTTTGTTCCATTATCACACCTTTCTCCATCCACTTCAATTCAGGCACATTTTGAAGAAAATCCGATTGGGACAGTTTTGGCTAAAAAGCATGGACTATGACCCATGGTTTTGATTGATTTTGGCCAATTTTCAAACCTATTTCATCAAATCCGATTCAGGTTCATTTTGATAAAAAATGTTGTGTGGTGTGTGAATTTTCCCCCTAATTATTATCAAAACATTTAAGAGTAGGTCTCTGTAAGACTCAAGCAAAGTGGGAAATGAAATTTTTTGACCACCCTTGAAATTTGGTGTG